TAGGCACACAGGAAAGGTATCATGGTGCCTGAAAAGAACTGACCATCAGGTTCCATTCATGCCTTCCTTATGATCTGTTTAACGACGTGAACGAAAGACGTTTCTCTGGCGATCATTATCACGTGCTATGTTATTTTCTGCTTAACAGGCACAGGCCTGTGGCTGATGGCAGAACTTGAAGAAATCGATCGAAACACTGACATGTCCTAGAAAAGCTGCCATGTTCAATGTGGAGACTCCACCGTGTTCTCCGTGCAGTTCATTGGCTGGAAAATCGCCAGTATTACCACAGTATATAGGAAGTTAATATTCATTCGGTGTCGTAAGCACTGTGCTTTCATCGGCACTCGTGATTGGCCGGTTTACTTTCATACTTGCACAACTTTTCACTGCAACGAAAACCAAAAAGAAATCATGTGTTGAGGGGCATACTTAAAAGCAGCTCAAAGGAATTAATTTATACATAATATTGCGATAAATTAGTAGACAGCAATAAAGTAAAACATAGAAAGACAAAAATAAGAAACTTACGGACCCCACTGACGTTAAAGAAATACCCTGTTAGGATTTTGAAGGCTTCCTGGCTAATAAATCACATGGTCACGGGTTTTGGAAGTGAAGCATCTGGATCTTGACATCCAAAACTGATTAGTGACGTTTCAATGGCTTTAGACATAATCAATAGATCGTTATTAATGTGCATTAGAACGTTAGACATTTAAACTAGGCAATAGTGGCCACCCTCAGCAGAAACAGTGAAACACGATTGAGTGAAACTGACCTTCAGTGACTTTACCCTGTCATAGCCGGAAAGAGGATTTCGCCCATACTACTCATGTATATGATATATATGATTCCATCTCGATTATGTTCACAGTTATGTTGAATAATGCTGCTGCACCGTCTTAACTGGTTCCCAACCCGCCTGAAAAATGCGAAGAGTTTGCGACGTCTGCCTCAAACCTTAGGCACATGACTCTCACGGTATTGACGCAATCGAACGCTATACCGGCTCAGTCGTATCTACGGTTTCTGAGGGCTATGCAGGCTGTTGGGGAACTGAGGCAGGCTGAGAAGAGCTTAGTTTAGTTGATGATCAGAATCTGAAACCCTCTTCATTTCGTTTCTCAGTTGAGGACCTAGCAGCACGGCGACGACTGTCGAAGATCGAGGAAAGATGACATAGATACCAGTCAGCATCGGAGTTGCTACCCGTTCTGAACGGAGGAGGCAAGCAGCGCGATGCCATTACAGCACGTCAGACGAGGCTTCACCAGAGAACGATGACAACAATGGGAACATATAGTAGGAAATGATACGAACCGGTTGATGAAACCTCAAGGTGCAAACTGGAAATAGTTCGAGTCTCGTCAACGAAACGCCACAGCTTTGAAATTCAGTACTCCCGTTGGCGAGAGGAAGCTTTTCTATTCGAGCGTCGATGTCGGCGTTCTAGTAGAACCAGACCTGAATGACCGATGCAACAAATGAAATCTTCCGCCTAATTTGGTGGGGGCACGTGCGTACTTCCTCTTTCAGTGATTCTAGTCAAAAGCAAGAGGCCGATCCTGAAGTCTTATTGGAACTGCCCAAATATTGATTGACATTAAGATGGCCAATGTCGTTTGACTGAAGTTCTTCACCATTAACTTATTAGTCGATTATTATTTGTGACTAAAACCACTGAAGTACTACTGTTACCGCATGGATTGTTTCAACCCTTTTATTCCTCTACCAAAAGGAAGTCTTTCCTTGCTATCTACACACAGAAGACCATAAACCCTTGGTTTCTGACTTTGCTGCGATGAACCAGGTAGCCTCATAGTTTAATCGAAGCTAATTACCTAATATATTGATGCGCATCATAATATGCCTAGAACAAAGCTATTCACATTATGCTTTTGTTACAGTGGATGGGATGAGATAATTGTAAGCTAGACAGCATTTCCAACGTTAATGGAAAGATTCATGGCCAAACGTTACGAAAGATTAGAAATTACAGTGTCATCCGCTGTCAAGAAAGTTGTGAAGCCATTTCAAGAAAATGATGAAATTTCTCTTCCCCAGGGCAGCACCGAGAGGCAAATGTGAAAAGATTTGGAGCCACGCCTGCTATGTCTTCAGAAGAAGAATGATGACGCAAAATACCATCTACCGTATGGAAGTGAATGATCCCTGGGTTAAGGCACGGAGGTGTGAAACCTATCAAGTCACCGCAAAGGTCATTCTTGATTGAAAGGGGTGACAGCGGCATAAATGCAGGACGTGGGGCAACTTTTACACACTGGATTTTCTAGTTTCTCATATTCAAACGGTGGGAAGCATGTTGCTTTCTTTTCATTCCCTGGTAGCATCGATCAAGTGTTGTTTACATTTTTCAGCCGTCTTATCTGGGAGCAGATGAAAGAATTTCATAATGTTTCTAATGTTCATAAAGTTTAATGGCAATAGGGACGAAAACAATGTCATTCTTGATTAAGAAGTAAGGATGATGAAAGCCGTGATGATTACTGCCAACCACATTTATCAAACTCTGTCGTAAGCCTTGGAAGTGCAGACAGAGGAAAAACTGTAAAAGGAATTTGAAAGAAGTTTTTAAGTATCTAAGAGGGAAAGTGGCTTTGTTCATGTAGAAAAATTTCCATCGATGTTACTGTAACAATCGTCCCTCCTTGAAACGGTGTAAGATCTGTCAGAACTGTCGCGATGAATATCCTAAACGCATGAGGGCAGGTGACGTCAGATGTTCGTGATACAAGCACAAATGAAAATACTGAGATTCACCGTTTTCCCATGGAATGTCTCCGCTCTACAAAAATTGGTAGTATGGCGAAGGATTTAAGGCTCTAGAAACTGCCATCAAGTGATATGCTAATTTAAGCCTTGAGTACGATTTGCTCTCTCTTTACCGCCGTACAAAATGCATAAGATCTGCAATGTTTGAGCTGCTTACTGTGTGAGCAAGAGCAAACTCAGGTTGTCCCTCAGGTGGTCATCCTTGGATGTCCTGGCTACGAAACCTACCAGTGCAGCATTAATGCCCTAATGAATCTTGCTGTCTGAACAGTGCTAAGTGAATTGAGTGCCTTTAGAATAAAACAAACTTTTCTGGAATAACTTACCATAACTAGAAACTATGACTGAAGATCCACAAATCATTGCCCACATGCATAATGGCGAAGAGTAGAA